CTATAACCATTTCAAATTTGATTTGTAGAATTTCCAATTAAAAAAAGTATTTCTTGCCAACTGCCATGTAAATATCACCTCATCTGTACCATTTCATGCATACAGACCAAATGTACAGGAGTTCTGTTTTGCACTGAGTTACAAGCCTGGACAGAAGCCAAGGCAGGAAGTGATTATGGCTAAGGAGCTGATGCTGATTGAAAATGTGTGATCCTGTGGAGGAAATATCAGACAATAGAACCTCAGCCAGTTTGGAAACAGATTTAGAAAACAGCACATTAGGATGTAAACAGTCAATAGGACTGGGGCCAGCCTTTCTCCTAACAATCAGATCATTAGCAGTAGGAGTGTGCAGAATGATGTCCGTGATTAAAGTGCAAGTGCAAAATCCATGAACGTGTGTGCCCATCAGTTCTGAACGGAAACAGCCTTCTTGCTTTTTACCATGTTTCTTCTACAATTTGTCCCAACTCATCCTGGATACAAGAGTCAGGCATTAGTGCAGCTTGAATATAGGAAGCACAAATGGTCAAGGACTTAGAAAGAAAGGCTTAAGATTATTTTGTGTAAGTATAACAAGGTAGGATCACTCTCCGGAATTGCACTTCGGATTTTTAAGACAGCTTCTGTGAAAAATCATCAGCTCACATGCAATTAAAATTTTCAGGATACAAGTGGAAACAGTCTCTGATAAGAAATGGAACAGAGCAATCGTTATAATTTAAGTGATGATCATTATCTGGGTGAAGGGGACAGCTTCCTGATTTGTCTAGAGACTAGTTTAACTTCTTGCATAATTTGTAACATCCACCAAGCAATTTTGATTTTTATGCTGCAACTTCTGATTTCACCATTTTACAGAAGTCCAGCCAATGCAGAAAGCAGTGAGAAAGGCAAACATTAATAAGTTTGTATGTATCCATTTCATTTATGGATAAGACACGTACAATTTTTATAACTACACTGTATGTGTCAATAATTTTGAGTTTGGTTCTAATTATGCTTTTTCTAAGTTTCAACTGCAAAGTGCAGATGGCAGCAAAATGGGCCTTAGCTAAAAGGGACTTAGGTAACAGGCTACCCTACTGTTCCTGCCACTCTTCAACACACAGGTATGCCTGAGCAATGCCCTTCACCATCTTGGGCCTTTAAGCAGCTGAGCATTAGTTATGAAAGTACTGAAAGTACTGAAGTTTCCACGCTCTCTGCCATGGGCCACCTGAGCCTTAGTAACTTAATGAAGTGAGAAATTTCTGAGATGACAAAGCTTCTACTACAGGGCTCAAAAAGGCCTAAACACTGAAGACAATCTAGACATAGAGAAGTACAGCTGAGTTACAAAAGCAATTTCTTTCCCCTGCACTTCTGGTACATATTTTTATCTGTTTTTTTTTCCTGACTGCATTCCCAGAACATCGACATATCTTGTCTTCTATGTTCAAAATGAAAGTTGTTTTTTTTCACAGTGACTTAGGTCCAGATGGCAAAATGAAGCTGCAGGATTTCATTTAGAAATAAAGTTGGAATGCAATACAGTTATTTAGAAGAGATTAAATTCAGCCCATGTTTAACGTAACTGCTTCTTTGCCCAAAAAACTGCAACTCTTGAAAATTAGAAGGCAGCATAAAACAATTTGAATAAATAAAAAGACATTTTGTTGAGTAGGTTGGTTGAAGAATTGTGTGGAAAAGGGAGCTGAAACATGTCATTCAGAATTTCATGGTAAATAATTTCTGCTGTAGCTACCTAGCAGCTATGAAAGGACTGTTACCTTTGTACTGTTTGCCTTGATGTGCCAAAACTCTGTAAGCCTGATCCCATTTCATGAAAAGCCTGGAGGAAGACCATTTGAGTTGGATGGTAATGGTGTATCCATTCCTGCAAAATAAAAGTGGCAAGAAGGGGACTGACAGCAATGTTCACATAGGCATCACAAGTGTTTATAAATGTAAAGGAGGAATTTTTTGTTTACAAAGATATCTAGAGCTCCATTTTATATAGAGATGCTGCTATAGATGTCTGGTAATGGGCCTTTGAGGTAGGAGCAGATTTTTTTACTCTTGTTTCTACAGTTAAAAGGAAATTATGAGAAGACAAAAACTGAAAATTGTTCTTGTAATTTGCAATACACAGCTGTGTTCATAAAACCTCATATGGTCCAAATCATCTCAAAGCATGGACTATGCTCCTTGCTCGTGTAAGTAATTGTATTTGTGCCAATAGCAGTGATTACGTAAAAGTAATGATTAATGATCAATAACTCATCATAGGCAGTAAGTAATAGAATGGTCTTAGTATGGTAGTAGGTATTACAGTAACTTCAGCTAAAGTACTGCTTAAGCTTAGGGGACTTTCAGGGTAAAGTGTAACCCTGTGCATTATCATGTAATGTAGCAGCAGCACCACTTTCATGGTATTGTTTTTAACAAACACCAAGAATCAGCCATCCACTTTTGAGGTTTTTCATTGCTGAACAAGAAAACAAAGAAATTGTCTTTCAAGTTAATGAACTGACTAGACTTTCCCTTATTGATACACTAAATGTTAACACTGGCTTTCAGCTTGCTTTGTCCAGCAGTCAATAACCTTCACTTTTCACCAAAAGCCAGCAATAAGGAAGCATTTACCATTGGCTTTTCCAGGCAAAGGGAACTTGTAGCTTGTTTGAGTTTATTAACAGGTGGTTTATCTCTATCTCCAAGTAAGGGTGGTGAGAGGTGCCTGTAAGGTAAAGAGAAGATGAGAACAGTTGGTCAGTACGCTGAGAGGATACCAGAATTTTATTCTCTCTGCAAAGCATTAATGAGGCAGCTGGAACTTCAGAGGTCAGTGAATTCTATGCAAATCCTGGATATTTCAGAGGTCAAGGTTCACTGGGTGGATATGTGAGTGTTCTGGTAGCACTATGTAAACTGCCTTTAATCAATTGTTCAAACCACTATTCTGCTAACAAATAACAATGAAAAACTAATTATATTTTGTGGCCACAATTCAGTGCAATCTTTTGAACACTGGAAAACCCAGAAAACTTCTCACGTAATTTGTTTTGAGGAAAAAGCAACTGGTATAATGAGATTTCCTAAAACAGAATTATATATTCTGTACAAGTGAATTATGAAATCTAGTAATTATCTTGCAGCCAGTGATCTACAAGGGTTTCTAAAATACCCTAGCAAGGAAATTAGGAAACATGGTTGTTTTCCCTGTGGGAAGCAATCAGGAAGCTCCAAAAATTAAATGTCACCTTTACAGTGCAAGCCAAAGAAAGCATTACTGTCCCTCTCTGTCCATGGAATTATTCACACAATCACAGAAGGCTACCAGATAGGCATGGCATTATTGTCCTCTTTACAAACCTGTGCCAACTCTCCCCATCACAGTTTTGTCCCTAACATCTTCAAAAATGGCATTCCAGGAGAATATATTCCATCACCTTCCCAGGCAGTGAGATGAGGCTGACTGGCCTTTAGTTCCCTAGCTCCTCTATCTTACCTTCTTGAAGACCAGGCAGATATTTCCTGTCTCCCGGGCCTCAGCAGCCTCCCCTGACTGCTTTAGCTCCTCTGAGGTCACTATGCGTCCTCACTGGGACACTGGAGATGGACCTTCAAGAGAAGGAGTGGATTTCTCCTTAGCCCTGCACCCCCCCGTCTACAGTGACTTTCTGTTCTGCTGCTCCACCAAGCGACAGCATGTGGCCCACTACAAGCATTTACAAACACTCTTGAAAACCCATCCCTCTTTGTCCCTGTCACAATAGAAATGAAGGCCCAGAGGTTCTGCACTTGCTTTCTGTGTGTAGAGGTGCTACAAAGGCCCCAAAGCAGACTGGAGAAATTTCGAGCATTCTTTTTTTATCCCCTCTCTGTGTGGGCTACAGCTGGGTCAGCTCCCCACAGGCTCCAAACTGGTGGGATTTTCCTGTCTTTCATTGCTGCCAGAAGCTCACCCAGCACCTTTGCCTTCTGCACAGACTCCAAGGATTGCTCTAAAATGCAGGAAGAGTCTGGGAACTGATGATTAGCACTAGCTCTGCTCAAGCCTGCAATTTTGACACAAGTATGCTTCAAGTCCCCTGGAGAAAAGGGACACATTTGCCTGGCCTCTGGCTTTAACATCTGACCAGTTATTAAAATTATTAGAAAGAAGCCTCTGCCCAACTAAAGGTGCGAGATGATATGCCAAAGGCATTAGTACAGATTTTTATTTAACAGTAAATGTGAGGTAGAGAGAGATAGAAAAAAGACAAGTGGAGGGAGGGGGAGAGAGAGAGAAGGGACAAAGAGTGACTGAGAAACACAATAAACATCAGAAATATTACCACCCCACAGGTTCCAATAACAGCCTGTTGGTTCTCGTCGGCAGTTGCAGTCCTGTTAATGTGTATCTATCAAGTGGGGAGGAAAGAGTCCACAAAATACCAAGTCCACAGGGTTTATATTATGCTGAGTCTAGGTGGAAAGGCCCCCTGTAATGGCCTTGGATTATGTATTACTGGATCATGGGACATTCCACGAGTCATTGACATCTTCTAAGATGTTGCAGCTGTCTCCTACCCAGTATAGCTCAATCATAGTCCATCATCCCAGACAAATACCTTCATCCTATGGTACTTCAGAGCTGAGCCACTGTGTAAGGGAAGATACTGGCATAGTAAGAAGGACTATCCCACTTTGCAGGATTTGCACCTTATCAGACTCTTTTCTTACCTGGAAAGCCAGTTTGTAGCCTCAGGTGTGCACATGCACCTGCACCAGGGAGGCCACTGTGCATCACTAGCACTAGCCAGCCGATTGTTTGAGCCAGTCCAGTCTCTTGCAGCACCTGGGCAGTTACTGCAAATGGCTGAGTGTTTGAGTCATTCATCTGTAGCAGGCCAGTCTCTCACAGGGGAACAGGCAAGGTGCATCTGTGAACACAGGAGAGCTCTGGAGAGTTCTACGAGCAGGGAAGAGGTGGAAAGCAGTGCCAAGAAAGGGAACAATAAAACAAAGCCATGTTCTAGATTGCGAAGTTTATTGAATATCAAGTTCAATTAAATACAGTGTAACAGCTTCACAAAAATTTATTCATATAAAAAGGTAGAGTGTCACAGCAGCATTTAATGCTTTTCTCACTATCTGTCAACTCAAGTCCTTGAAATAGTGGGCAAAACCCAAAAATTCTTTCAGTCTTGATTCATCTCAGTACAATCATTCTTACTTTTCCAGAACTGGGACTTTGTTCTGTACTCTGCTGGTGACTTTTACAAATGGGAAATGACAAATCGTATCTCAACTAAAAACTGGTAATTCCCTGAAATAAGTAGAACTGCTTATATGGTTGCTATCAATTTTCCACCACATCTGGGCTACAGACACATCCTCAGCTGGAAGCAGCAACAAAAAGATTGGGTATCCAATCACACAAGTTCTGGAGACTACTGAGGAAAGTGGGTAATATTAATGTTACTTTTTTCCCCCTCCCACTGGAAGTGTTTATAGGTGTACCTCAAGTATTTAAGCAAGAGCTGCAGAAGCCTGAAGCTGCAGCAATTTTTCATTCAGGAATCAACACCAATAGCATGAGTGGTAATGAGTCTGAATATCTCTCATGATATTCAAGTGTATTGTGACAGTGACTCATCATGAGCCCAGGTTGCCCATGGACACTGTGGAGTTTCCATTTTTGAAGTAATTCAAAAACCAACATAGATGTGGGAAACTAGCTAAAGGTGGTTCTCCTGGAGCAGGAGGGCTAGAACAAATAGCCCCCAGAGGTCCCTTCCAACTTTACTCATTCTAGGATACAAAATAAAAAATACCAAAAAGACCATAAAACAAGTCTTGGCACTACTACTCACTCACAGTCATTTTAAACCTATGTTGCATAAAGTGACAACAATATAAAGTGCCGTTTTCTCCAGCTTGAACACCACTATAAGTTAATCAGCAGAAATTAGTCACTGCATCAGGACTCAAGCACTGGGCTCAAAGCACATCAAATGATGTTCCTAAGCATTGAAATAACACTGGAGAAGTTAAAACACATTGAGTGAAAGGATTAAACAGAACAAAGGGAATGCATTTGTAAAAACACAGAACATGAGCGGATCAACATAATGCAGCTACTGTAAGAGGAAACATTTCTGACAGTTTTGTCAAGCTCAAGAATCCAGATTGGTCAATCTTCTGGTCAGAAAAAACAGACGTAGCTCTTACTGTGAGTACAAAAGAACTTAGGTATGCTGAAAAAACCCAACAGGTGAGTGCACTGTGCTTGACATCCATTTAACAGACTTACATTTTATAGTCAGACTAAAACAAGTTTTCAAATATGAAGTGGGGAGAAAGGAAACCATAGATGCTCTAGAAAAGCAAAAAAATGTCCAGAGCCTTTCCACAGTATTTCATTCAAATCATATAGTTTTTGGTTAAAACATCACGGTACTCCTCTATTGCTCTGCAAAGAGGATCCTGGTCCAAATGAAGTTTTTTTGAAGATCCAGCACATCCAGTTTCAAGTTCAGCAGTGGCTGTGGGAAAAACAGACAAGATGCCTTATGTTACTTTTACAGCATAGAGGAAGAAATAAAGCACTGTAAGATTTTACATAACTTGAGAGTCTCTAAACCCAAACAAGACTTTTAAATTTCCAAGGACACCAAACAAGGGAAGTGCTGGGCAAAAAGGAAGAAACACATTTTGAGCACATTTACTTATCAGTCAACAGCATTTTTAAAGCCAGTGACAGACATTCTGGAGGCTACACAGTGGACATCTTCCAAGAGTCCACACGACTCCAGTGGCCCCTAAGAGCGCTTCTTAACGTAGCCCCTGCGGAGCTCTTCAACCTGAAGTCTTTGCTTTCCTTCAACGTTCCAAGCCCTGCTTTACTGGAACACTACAACTACATAGCTGCAGTCCCTGCAAAGCAGTGACTCTGGAGGAGCAGCTATCATGAAGCAGGTGGATCTCCTCTTTGGACGCCTGGCCTCAAACTGTAGAGAGTGTTTTATGCTGCATGTCACAAGCACTCAACTCGTGTTTGCCTAAACACTACTGAACAATCTCTTCCTGAAGAAATGTTGTCTTTTGTCCCTGATCATGTGCTTCTTACTTATTCAAAACAAGAATGCCAGCACCTAAGCTACAAAGACAAGCCATGAATTGTAGGAAGAAAAAGCAAGATCTAACAGCAGAGAACATGTATGGTGTGCTTTAGTACTGAATGAAATCCAGTACAGGGAGGGAAGGGATGGCTGAAGTCTCTGAAGATCTGTAAAAATTTAAAAAATCTGGGGGCTTCTTTGATGTTTTTGCTGGAAATTCACTCTAGTGAAGGGCAACTTCATCTTAAACTGAGTGCTTCTGTTTGAGCCAGTGGATGAATTTTCTTTTTGTTTTTACTTTTTTTTTCTAGGCAAGTGCATAACATTCTATGCAATATTTTGGGAAGTAGTTTTTCCCATTAAATTTCACATACCAAAGTGGAGAGCTAGCAGAAAATAAAATCTCTACTTCGCAGAGGAAGTTGAAAACAATGGCTTGAAAGCTGTCAAGACTTAGGAACAGTCACCTTTTTAGTTCAAAACACTCCGAATGTAATGACACATTACCTTTTTCCAGTTCCTTCATGATTTTTTCCTCCTGTTCCTGTTGTACCTAGAATTACACATCAAATATACAGTGAAGATATAATATCACCCCAATGTAGCTGCTAAAACTCCTAAAACATTCTTACACCCATCACAGACAAAGCCATGAAACCTAAAAATATCATGCAAACGGAGATTCTTGGCCTGTGATGGCCAAGAAGATGCCAAAGGCCTTGGACCACGTGAGCTATGTGGAAAGGCTGAGAGAGCTGTGAATGTTTCTTTCCTGGAGTAGACAAAGCTCAGGCAACCTTGTCAGTGTGTATTAACTACCAGGAGGGGGGAGTAACAGAGATGGAGCCAAACTCTTCTCAGTGGTGCCAAAAGAACTGAGTTCCCCCAAGCCTCAAGTGTTTTTCAAGCGTGGACAAGCAGCAGTAAAATCCTGGGGAAAAGGGATCCCCCTAAAACGTGACATGAGACATGGGGAGCGGAAGGAAGAAGGAAATCTAAGGAAGCTTAGACCAAAAGATGACCTAAAGCAGCACCAATCCTAAGCAAAGCTGCAGTAGTTGAGCTGTTGGAAGAAAACACTTTCCCCGGTTTAGGAAGCTTTCACAATAAGCAGAAGGTGCACAGGAGCCTCTGCAACATGTGAGGATTTATCACGAGAAGAAAAAGGTCTTGTTTGCCTCTTCTTTCTTTCAGTAACATGTTGTGATTCTCATCCCGCCCGAGAAAAGAGAAATAGGTGGAAATGAAACCAACACATGGATTTCTCTGGAAAGGAATGAAAAGGCCTTTGCATGAAAATCCACCTTTGAGGACTCTGACAGTGTCTCCACTGTCCTCCTGCCCCCTCTGGAGAAGGCATCGAGTACCAAGGCCTGAACAACAGGCCCTGACTGAGGCCCGGAGCCAAAGCTGACCTACAGATGGACCTTCCAAGCAAATGTTATCTATAGATATTTGCTCCCTAACAAAGCTTATATGTTATATGTGTGCATTTATTGGCAGAACATGTATTTATCTTTCCGCATCTAGAAACGTGATGAGGCCACATCTGGCCTACCCAGGGGGNTCCCAGACTTGGACAAAGTATTGCAGTAACTGGTGATGCCTCTTTCTTTATCACGCTAGGCATTCTTTTGTAGTAATCATTAGGTGCATTGCTTAGCCTGTCCTTTAGAATTCTTTGCTAATGATGATGTGCTTTGATTAGCTTAGCATATCCTTGCGGAATTCTCTGCAGTTTTACTGCAGAATTTTCCTGAATTCCACTATTCCTCAAGTCGCTGTCTGTGTCCTGAGCAGGTACCTCTCACTGCTTAGCTCTTCAGGCAGTAACATGCTGGGTCACTTGCAGCACTCACCATCTCTGTCATTCTGTTTCACGAAGTGATGTTGACTTACTACTTCCCCACGGAGCTTCTTGCGCACAGAGTACGCTGCATCCTCTAAGACTCCATGAGATGATACTCAGAGTCTAGGAACTCAACTTGAGAGCAGTACTGCTACTGCACACGCAGCTGCTGTTGCTACCCAGAACTTTCTGACTGTCAGGACAGGCAAGGGCAGTAAAGAGCCTTCTCCTCTACTTTAACCAAGTTCCATGAGAAGAGATGAAATCCATACATAGGGTGCCATCTTACAGAAGCTGAACTACCACAGCAGCCGTAACTTCACAACGACATTAAGCACAGAACTCCTCAGCAGCAAGTCACTCTTTCACTCCGGGAAAAGGGCAACTTCAAAGCGTTTCCGGCTTTAGGCCAATGTGAATGCATCAGTAAGATTTGGAATCAAATCCTAGCAGCACAAATAGACAAAACATTTCCAGTAGCACTCCAGCTTAAACCCTACAGGCTACAAACCTTGTCACATATCTGGCTGCAGAAAAGAGAGAGAGAAGGATTTTGGTTAAGGAGCTGAAGAAGAAAGAAAAAGAACCTGAAGTTCAAAGGTCTTCAGTGAGACACAAGAACATGGCCTGCCTGTACATGAGGCAAGGAAAAAAGCTCACTATAGACAGACCACTAAAATGCAAGAGGGCAGATGGAAAATGAAAGCAGAAGAGGAACAGAAGTTGAGAGAGAGCGTAGGCAGCTGACATTCCCCTACTCACAATCTGTAGGGAAACTGGTTTCATAAATCCACCAGTTCACACTGGTTGCAGCTCACAGAGTTCACTATTCTGGTCCACGTCAGAGACACTCACATTCATTTGCACCAGCCTTTGGCACAGCTGTTAGCATTGAAGCTTGACAGTTTGCAAATATAACAAGCGGCCTTGAGTCCCAAAATCTTCTTGCAATACTTGCAGCAGACAGACACTGCCTGCCTTGGGCTATGCAGTAGGTTTCTGGTACACGGACCACCAACAGTACTTCCTATTTATGACTTGGAAAGGGAAGACCAGGTTTTAAGACTTTCCTTAACACATTGAACATTGAGGTACTTGAGGCTAAAGGTGGTGCCGTGGCAGTCTCAGTTGCTCCCTAATTGGTGATTTCAGGAAGACTTATCACAATAGAATGAGCAGCTCAATTTACTATGAGCGAGGATAAATTCACAGCAGGAAATCTGAGTCCCAGACAGCAGACTTCTGCTTTGATTGAGAGAAATCTGGCATGCTGAGATTTCCATCTTTCTCTAAGAGGACCTGGTTGAAATGGTAAGAAATAGGCAAGTTTTCTGTGGGTATGGCAGTTGTTTAACTCACCCTTACTCAAGGAATAAAACTTCACAGTTTGATACAGCATTAGAGCTCAAAGGGAATCCTAAGAGGACAAACTGTGTATATGAGAGTGAATTATCCTCAGCTCCTCTGGTGACAACAAACTGAAAGTCTCCATAGGTTGTGATCAAGAAGAGAGAGAACTTCAGGGGACTAGGTCCTACCAACAAAACTGCTCTAGGAAGGAAAGATGTTAGTATAGAAGTCTCCAAATTAAGAAGTAAATCCTCTCTGGACATCAGTAATTGAAGACTGGGAAAATGTCATATATAATTGTTCAATAACTTCCTTGAGAGTATGTTCAAACTTGTGAGACACATATGCTCTGGAAAGAAAGTGTATGGGAGTCAGGACACTGAGAGGGAACAGTATCACTACTCTCAGTTCTAATGCAGACTTGTCTTAGAATCAGCTCAGATGTTTTTCACATCTGAAGTGGATCTGGAAGCATTTTTCACAAAACACTGAAGAGGCCTATATAGCAGTTTGAACTTTGCATGTTATTAGCAGCTGCTAATAAATAAATAAATTAATAAAACAATGAGCCATGAAATAGCCTGGAGAAATATCTAATTTCTGAAATTAAATTTCCCTACTTAAGGGAAGGCAGCAAACCCCTGAAGGTGTCTATCTTGATACTGACAAAACTTTGAGATTCTCAGAGAGTTCCAATGTCTTCTAGAAAATGAAAACGGAAAACACTACCTGGAAACTGTGGCTGTAATTGAGTATCAGGAATCTATCTGTCCTTTCTTTCCCTCTCTTGTTCTGTACTCCCTACTCCTCCTGGTCTCCTCTTTATTTCCCTTTCACAATGGGTCCCTGAATTTTCCTTCATGTTCCGCACTGAAGTTTAAGAGCAAAGTTACACCATCCCATCCATATCATCCTATTTTTGAAGTATCCTTTTGTTGGTATTAACATACTAAATCAAGTTCTGTGAAGAAACCGCTGGACTGAAGACCCAGGAAGAAGAAAAAAGTGTCTCAGAGATGTGTGATGGGTTTTGTCACTCAGCATGATGTTAGCCATTTTAAACAAGTTAGCCAAATCAAACACTGGAATTTCATGTTGACCTTAGCTAGGAACTCCCTATGCCACAGTACTCCTTGTTACACCTTCTCTTGTAAAAGAATGTTATGACACAGTTCACTGCATTAACTTAACTACTTTATGCCCTTTGACCATCTTGAAAATTTTTACAACTCTGATGACCAAAAGTCTTCAGCCTTACAACGTACAGTTGTGCACTGTTCTAAGGATTAGCAGTCGCTTTGGCCTATTAGACAATAGAGCATGGAACAAGAAATGGATTTGAACTTCAGGCTAAAAAAGATAACCTTGCCTACACTTGCTTCTCTGCAGCAGCAGTCGACAATGGTCTTTCAAAATGCTTACCTTGGCCACAAAGGCTGCAACTCTGTTTCTTGAGGATAATGTGTTCTCAGTTGGGCTGAGGAAGCTTTCTCCTAGACTGAGACTTCTGTTCAGTCCCAAATGGTTGCCAAGATTTCCCAGTGCAGTTGAATACAGAACTGGAGTCGCAGCCAGACCTCCACTGACAATGCTGCTTGTGATTAATGATTTGCTTTTATGGCGCTCCCGGAGGAGCTTAGCGTTGGCTTCCTCAAGTCTCTCGTTAGCTCTGAAACATTCCGAAGCACACAAACATGGCTAGTAGCACTTTCCCAAAGTTACTCTCCAGGGCCTTGACTATTACTTGACTTCTGAGATGAAGAGCCTCCAAAAAATAGCACATCACTTGACCTGAGCTTGTTTGGAGGGCTGGTTTCTAAGACGTTACACTAGGTGCAAGGAGCAGCAAGTGTCACCAATGCTTAGGACTGCTCAGCATGAGGGCTTCAAAGCCTTCTGTGAAAGCCATGTGTTTCCATAGAGCTGCTTCTGGAAGGCACATCACCTCCGTAACAACTCGGGGCTGGCCCCATTCCCAAAGGAAGCTCAAAGCTCAGAGCCACTGCTTAAACAGAAGCCAAAAAAGACAATTTCTGGTTTTACTTCACAGAACAGAAATCTGTTCTCTGAGAGGCCTACCCTTATTCAAACAATAATGGACATGAAATTCATTTTTTCTGTTGTACAGAGGATGTGATTATAGAGACTGGTAAAAAACGCTGCCCGTTAAAGCAACATCAACTTGGAAAGTATCCTGTTAATGCCATGATCAGCTGTGTTCCTGCTGAAACACTAAAGAGAAATGAAGGCCTTCTGAATGGGAAGGATCTTACAGTACTTTTCCCACAAACATGCCATCATAGACTTTCAATGTTGGCTAGGCACAGAACAGGAATTAACAAGAAATATGCATGAGGAAAAAGGAGTTTCTTATTACCAGTCCAAAGAAAGCACAGACTTACCTTTCCAGCTTCTTTGCTAAGCATCGTCTAGTTTTCACTTCCTCCAGATACAGTTCCTTGTACTTTTCCACTTCTGCCTGTGCACATTCTTTTGGAAAAGTATTGTCTTGTTGAGTATTTTTTATCTTGTCCAATTCACATTCAAGATCTCTAATTCTGTCTTTTAGCTGGTTTCTCAGAGAAGCATGATGACTTGCTCTGATGTGTTCTAGTCTGTCCTGGGAGGCTGCCTGTGCCTGAAAGAGACGGTGCACCTTCAACCACCTCAAAGGAGAATCCTCGCCACCTGTCAATTGCATGTACCCAAGTTCAAGGGCCCAACTTGGCTCAGAGAGGCACCTGTGCCTCCTCCCTACCATCAGCAATCAAGGCAGACCCCTGGAGCTATTACTACTAAGTAATTCTTTTCACTCAGAACAAAGCCCAAATCAATACTATTATTCAAAGCTACTAATGAAAGGCCACTATCTCTGTAGGACAGGCATGGAGAACAGGATTCCTCAAAGACCTTACAAGGATGCTTCATCTCCTCCTGATCTCCAAACCTGCAACTTCAGTCACTTACTTTCTGAGCACTATCCCCTGTACAAGGAGAAAATCAGACCTGTAGGCCTGGTTGTGACAGCTGGAATGTGCAAAACCTCTTCGAGGACAATGGGAAGCAGACCTGCAGACAGAGACAGCCCCAAGCACTGTAGAATGGAAACCTACCTTGGGCAAGCTTTTGATTCAGGGACCTGCTGGCACATTACACACCATAAGAACAGTCCTGCCCAACCGTATGCCCTTCTCCCACCACCCTTCAGCACAGACACAAGTACTACACTAACACACAGAACTGGGCACCCAAAGCAAAACACCAAAAAATGGTGGCCACAACTGAAGTATACAGAGTGCCTAAAGACACACATCAGAAAGTCACTCACTTGCAAAAACAGATTGACTTCTTGTAGTTTTTGTCTTATTTCTTGGCTTGCTCGTTCATCAACCTCTCTTTTA